GGATGATCCCTTTTCCTACAGAATCTAAAAGGGCTGGATGTGGGTCCCACAATGAAGATCCTACAGAAGGTAACCAACCCAAGAAAGTCTCCATTCACCAGATACATGGAGGATGGGGATGTAAGTGAACACCTCCAGAATATTTCCTTCATGAGACTTTTGTCTTGTCTTTGGTATTACCATTTGGCTTATAAAAAAATACCACTTCCAAATGTTAATTCTATTTTGATTCTGAAAACTCAATAATCAAATTCCTTTCCCACACTTCTGGTATAGCTAGAGTAGAAAAACCAACCTATGAAACTTGGAAATGCATACAAATGCTTAATGCTCTGTTGCAGGCATTAAGCATTAAAGAAAAGTCAGCAAATGAAGCAAAAAAGAAAGAAACAGTGATAATCATGATTTGGTTGTCCCTTAAATATGTGGATTAAGAAGAGCAAGTGGAGAATAATTCTATATTTACAAAGTGAGATTGTACACGGACCCTGGAAAAGTATCTTTTTTTGCAGAAATCAAAAACTGTAGAAACAACAGCAAATACATAGATATCATTACAAATACTCTATGGTGTATGCCTTTAAAAATACAACAGATCCCATTAATAGTGGTGATGCAACCTACAGGTGCATATTCCATTTAGTGTCTGTATATTCTGCTCTTGAAGAAAGATCTGGTTTACTTATAAAAAACACCATGTTATTGTGACATAAGGCTGGTTAGCATGTATGCAGAGACAACCGTCTGTTCCTCAGTATTTCTCTTTTAACAACAGAAACCCCCAAGTTTTAGCTGGCCGTCTACTCAGGTAGAGTCTGAAGTAATGGGATATGGATGGAAGTGCTGGGTGCAGTATGTAGGACATCTTAAAGATTAAGATGCTTTCCCAGCATCTGGAGAAGATTCTGCCTCTTTCCTCCTTCCTGCTGGCTGGGAAATGGTGATATCTGACTTGTCTAACAGTGCGGCAAAGCCATGCGGCCAGTCTCAGGCCACTCACCTCTGACATGCTGTATGAGGGCAATGAGCTTTCTTTTTAAGTTATTGTTTGCTTTCCGTGTCTGGTTTTTGCTTTTGTTTTTTGGTTGGTTTTTGTTTTTTGTTACAGAAGCTTTGCCTGCACCCTAACTGTAATAATTAGACTGTCCAACCTCATCTGAATTAGGGAAAGTTGAAAGCTATGATGTAGGTAAGAGTAAACAAGAAGGAATCAGATCAGAATGACTCCCTATAGTGGTGACCCTACTCACAAGCTGTGTCCAGGGGCAGAATACTTGCCTAGAAGATTTTCCCTCCCCTGTTTGCTGATGATCGCCTCCACACTGCAATTCAAGAGCAATGACCTCTTTGAAAGCTTCACAGATTCACTGAGTTTGTATTTCCCCAATATGCTTTGAATATACACCTTTATTAGAGCATTTATCACACTAATTTTCTATTTTAAGTATACCTAGTGCCCCTATACTAGACTTTCTCACAGGAGGAAGATGATTCCATTCATCTTCATATCCATGCTGTGCAGCGCAGCATCTGTTTTAATGAGACTCCTCAATACATGTTGGTTGTATTGATTTTTTTGAATCAATGTTGTCAAATGTAAATATTTCACTGATGGTCATGACTTGCTTAAATTTCCTTTTAACAATATTGAGGTTGTTTTTAAAATTCGAGTGACTTCTCTGTGAACAGGAGCCACGGCAGTGACAGCTAACTATGACCACAGCTCAGGATGTTTTATTCTTTTCCTCTGTGATTGCTGGTAAATAATCTTAGGGCTCCTGCCCCTCTCCACACACAATTTCATAATGGCTCTCCTCTCCTGAGTCTCTATCATGTGGCAGGGGTTTTATATACTTATATTTTCTCTAATTTTCATAACAATTCTGCATGGTAGGTGTTGCACTTCCATCTTATGCATGAAGAAATGAAGCCCACGGTAGCAATCTCACAGCTAGGATTAAATCCACATAACAATACTGTGTTGTATATTCGGAAGTTCTTACAAGAGTCGTTCTTGAAAGTTCTCACTGTGAGAAAAGAAATTTTAATCATGTGAGATGATGTAGATTAAATTTATTGTGGTAATCATTTTTCAGTATACACATGTAGCAAATCATACGTTGTACAACTTGCAGTAATACACTGTCAGTTGTATCTCAGCAAATCTAATAAAACGGAAATAAATCCACAGATCTCAAGTGCCAAAGCCCAAATTCTTACTCCACCACCCTAGGTCCCTAAGAGAAAGTCAATATTCTCTCTTGTCATCTGTAGTTAATCTCATCTCCTTCTGCAAACTGACTTCCCAGTTCTTATTGGTCAACAAACAATGGGCTGCACACACTGAGAAGAAGCTGATAAATGACACCTTCAGTTTTTCTCACATTCCTTCATTGTGTCATAATTAGGAACTGCTTTTTAGGTGCCCAGTGCTGCATCCGTGTGCTCAGAATCTGCTGGCTTCCTTCCTTCACGTTTAGCTTCATTGTTCTGCTGAGGAGCTGGTATCTCCCTTTCAAACCCCCTTTTTGCTTTTTTCTGCGGGCTACATAATGCATGTGCAATCCTCCATACAGCTGGACCCTGTCTAGAGAATGTTCCTTTAGAACTGTCACCTCTGGCCTCATAAACCTCCTAATTTGGATCTCTCCTGGTTAGTGGGTGCTGAAAAATCTTTCACATTTGACCTCTTTATCGGATAGAAAAACAAAATCACAGGGTTGGTGAAATGATTAGGTCATGAACTCAGGAAATGGGAGGAGATGTTTTGGACAAGACACAGTGGTTTCCAATAAATACTTATTAAATATTTATCTCAAACTATAAAAGTTCTAGATAAAAGGTCATTTACCAATCAGAAGGGGCGTCTCTCCTTTGTCATTTTTGGTGTTTGGCCACACTCCCTTTTCTAATAAGGTTCTTACATTTTCCACCAGACTAGCTTTTACTGCCAAAGTCAAGGGTGTTTCTCCATCAGAGGTTTTGAACTCCCAAAGTGTGTTATAGGATGCTGAAATGTGAAAGCATGTGTAAAGTTAAAAACCTTAGAGGATATCACAGAGATCAGAATAGTTCCACATTGTATGCATTACATTGAAGAAAGTCAGTTAAAAAGAAAAGGGAAATCTAAAAAGAGATATGATTACATTTTATCAAATGATGGTGAGTATAAGTAGATGGGCATTGACTTGAAAGCTAGAAAACTAACATCTATGTCTTAAGATGCTATTTTTTATTTTTAATGAGTTGCAAATTCTCATTTCCTGATAAATTGTAAACCCTCCCTAATCCTTTGTGTTGCCATTAAATTGCCTCTGAAATTGGTTTTGCTCAAGTGATGTCTGAATGTAGAAATGAAGAATGTATCTGATTGAACGTGCTTGTCAGATGTGTTACAAAAGAAATAACCATGTTTAACATCGTCTTTTATATCTGTCTGTCTAACTAGCTGTCTGTCTAGCTATTTTTTTTTTTTAGTTGGCTGGCTGGCTGGCTTATTAATCAAGAAGCTATCATCATCTCCTGGAGCATAGGACTAGGGAGAAAAATTGAAGGGTGAAAGATAGGGCACTTCAAAGTATTTTATAAGATGCTGAGATGTGAAAAATATGGTGTTAGAACATCAAAATTATTATTAATATTTAAGATTTTCCATGATGTTTATTGTTTATGTTATGAAAAAATATAAGGACAAGTATTATAAGTACAAGTATACTATATAATAATCTTTTGAAAACTATTAACTCAAGATAGTTCAAGATGAAAAATTAAAACTGACCTCCAAAAGCAAAAAGCTTTATATTCAAATAAGCTAATTCATGATATATACAAACTTTCACCACTTTTAGGTGATAACCACATCTTCCTGCCAACCTGTGTCACATCACTAGCAAAGGGTGGACCCTAAACCTCAGAAAATGTGCTGATGTTTGTCTCTCTGAGTATAAAACATGGGTATTCCATTTTCCAAATTCTAAATCATCTTTTATTCTCCTTTTCCTTTGCTTGATATGCTTATTGGGAACACTCAAAATCTCTACATTTTGGCTTCAGTTTGGTCAAAGGGATTTTATGTTCTCTTACCATCCAGGACAATTTCAAGTATTTGTTGAATGGGCTGAACAACAGCTTCATGCAATGGAAACCATCCTTTTTCATCAGCTTCATCCAATGCATATTTATATTTCACATATTCCTGGAGTTCAAGAATGTGACCTGAATTAAACACATGGGCTAAAACAAATCTGTCTTGGCAAGGGGGAATCTTCTATCCATCCCACTGTAGGCAATGCACCCATATACCTTGTTTTATGGCCTCCACAATTTTTCTGTTTTCAACACTTAGTGGTACAAATCTACCAGAGAAAGAAAAATAAGCCATATTTATCATAGCAGTATATAACAAGGAACCAAAAAATTAAATTTATGTTGAGATTTTGTACATAATTTTAATAATCAAGGTCTACAGGCAATGCGCTCGACTGATCTTACCTCCTTTAAAAAATGTAAATGTTTAAGAGTCAGATACAGAGTATATTTATGATACACTAGACCTAGGAACACTAGTGAAGATGACAAAATACAAGTTTATAATGTTGTCCTTGAACTTAATTCTGAGCAATGAAAGAGAAGTAAACAAATGGGGTCATTGTCAGAAGAGCTGGGTTCAGTTTTTGTGATTTTGTGTTCCTGGAGAGGCCAATTAGCATCTCTGGGTGTTGTTTCTTTTTCATCTGCAAAATGATGGATTAAGTGGAAAGATATATAAGGACTCTTCCAACTTTAAAAACTATGCTCACTAAATGTTGGTTGCTTTGAACTTCATGATTGTTGATTAATAGTTGCTTACTTGGGAGCTTGTGATCCACACTGCATGTAGGAGTCATTAATCAATTGATCCACAAATGAAAACATGCTGAGCATTTACTGAATAAACTTCCAATCACTGGCCCAATAGGTCGCGATTTCAACCCTTCTGGCAATTCTCTAATGTGTATGTTTATTCAAAGGAAATAAGGTATTTCATAACAAATTGATTTAATTCTATTACACAGAAATATCTGCTGGCATTTAAGACTGAATACATGCTCAGGAGCTCTAAAGTTCCAAAATTTGTTGGAGATAAGGGAAAAATTAAAAAGGCCAATAATTTTATAGCACTGAATCTGTTCAACAGCACTACTCAATTTCAGAATACAGGGTTCTAATTACTATAATAGAATGTAAAGGTAAACCAAAGTTTTTTTTCCCGAAACTTCAATGTGTGTTGTGCAAGACAGAAATCTACTTTCGCAGTTTTAGGCTCTGTAACTCCTGCTAACATAACAGATCAATTTATGTATAATTGTTAACTTCCGTCATTTGGCTAGTAGATGATTAAATAGGCTATGGTTTACATATTACTTTGTCATTTTTAATAAAAGCCCTAAACTCTTTTCCCATTCATTGAATTTATGGGCTAGGTGGGTTAGCATTATTCTTCATATTTTTAAAGATGCAAAAATGGAATACATTACTTAGGAAGGTTGCTTGAGTCAGTAGCAGAATGGACTCTAGAACATACAGAACAGACCTCTGTTTCCTGACTATACATTAGTTGTATAACAGTACCTGAAAAATTTGTTTATATCACTTTTTCTTCTTTTTCAATTCTATACTAATTTAGAAAAAAGGCAATCTTATACAACTGAATTCAACTAAGAGTTTCCCATTTAGATTATTTGCATCTTCTACATGAGACGGAGATTTGTGGAAGATTACACCACTGAAACCTATGCACAGTGCCCTTCTAAGGCCATTGGTTTCCCAGCCAGAAAAGAAGGGGAAGCATTTTCCTAGAGGAAGAGTCAGAAAACATCATTCATTTCATGTGACAACAAAATGAATGCCATAAAGATATTTTGTTGAGGATAGCTGATTTGAGTATTACCTTTCAGAATGTAATGTAGTCTTGCTGGCGTCAATGGATTCTTCAATACTGAGCTGGATATCATAGCTTGCAAGGTGGTCTTCATCGGGGTCATCACTGGTATCCATCACTGGTTATAATTTTTGAAAGAGGCAATTTCTTATTATCAGCAAGTGACACAGAACAGCATGGATACTTACATTAAAGAGGCAAAATGAAAAACTAAAATGTGTTTTCCTTCCTCGTTTATAAACCCAAATGCAGTTACATTTTAATCCATATCATATAGAAAGCCCATTCTAACTTTTGAAACCTTTAATTACCTGCCTTTTGGGCATCTCCATGTTCTAAATTTTGACTTTCTTTTCAGCAATGACAGTGGCTGGGCTTCTAAGAATTCACTTACCCATACTTAAAACCTACACTAAGTTTGGCCTGTTAGTTTTCCCAAGACACTGCTCTATACAACACATTAGAAGTTTAAAACTCAAACCAAGAAAAAGTAAGACCATGGCAGGAATAGAGAACAGTAAAACTTTTACACTTTTTACTTTCTATTCTCTCTGCTATGTTTGCTCATTTGCTAAGATTCCTTTCCTCATAAACAATGGTTTGGGTTGCAGTTATTTCTGTATTTGTGTTCAACTTTTAATTGATTCTATGCTCTTTGAGGTGAAGGGCTCTATCTCATTCATCTCTGTGCCCCCTATAACTCTAGAAGGTGCTTGGCACAGGGAAGCTTCTCAATGAACATTTGTTGAATTAAAGTAGAGAGAATGGAATGTCACAGACGTAGGAGCCTAGCCTTGCCCTCAGGAAATTTGATGAGCAGAGAAGACGCAGGAAACTTTCAATAGAAGGAACTGAAAACTTCAAGTTTCTGAGAAATTACTGTGTAACCTTACATATGAAGTGAACAAGTTTCAAAATGCCAAAACTTTAAAATAAAATAGGAGGGGGTTAATCTGGCATACACAGCTTTAGGCCCTTGGAGAGCTTCCTCACTGATGTGATGGGCGTGATAGACCACAGGGCTCTCTGGGGGCTCCAGGATATCCACCTCGAGGGACCTGTGCTACCTGCACTCCTGGCCATGGAATGATCCTTTCAGACCTTGGCAGATGGGTATTCTTAATGCAGTTAGGGATGCTGGAACTGCTACTATAGGGACAGGCGTGGTAGAGATGAGCTTTCTTAAGTGAGGCTTAACTGCAGAGACAGCCAGTGGCTAAATTAACCTGGCAAACAATAAGCAGAGTGAAAATAAACTGCTTTTTGAAAAGCAGGTTAAAAACAGAGCAGCTTCTGGGCTGACTTACACAATTTATTGATGGCTATTTCAGTTCTCCTTAATTTGCTCACTTACTTCAACCAAATCAGAGCCACCATGAATGGCTATGAAGGATGTGTACTGTAGGTGTGCCTAGCTGAGAAAAGCCAGCCAAATCCCCCCACTCATGCCATGCACCCCAGCGGAGTGCCATGCATGTCCCCAAGGAAGCAGCATCTTTTCCTCATTTGCATCAAAGTGTTTCTGACCTATAGGATTACTGCACATTTTTAACAATGGGAAATTTAACAGAAACAAGCCTAATTATCTAAAGTTTGGGATGATAAATGAGGATAGATAGATTTGATGTCTTATCTAGTCTTTCAATATTTTTCCAAAGTGGAAGGAAGTTGGGATTTGGTTACAGTCCTTTGGGAAGGATGGGGATAACACGGCAGTGATGTTTATGATGCTTCTCGACTTGAGCCTTTCCACGGCTGGCTACTATTTGGTCCCACTTTTTGTGTTCGGGCTTGTGTTAGAGGGAATGTTTTAAGGTCTGACTGGTCTCAGAGCACCATTTGAACAGTTGAGAGAATGACCATCTTATCTCCACCCCAAGACCAGAGAGACCAGCCCACCCACAGGTTCTCATTCCTCTGCCTGCACAGCTCAGTCCATTACAAGCCCCTGCAATCGACTGGCCCATCTCCACTGAAAATAAGCACAAAAATGTAGATTACATGTCATTGGCTTGTTTCTTCCAAATATCAAATTAGAGGAGTGTCTCTCTTAGCAGTATATAACAAGGAACCAAAAAATTAAATTTATGTTGAGATTTTGTACATAATTTTAATAATCAAGGTCTACAAGCAATGCGCTCGACTGATCTTACCTCCTTTAAAAAATGTAAATGTTTAAGAGTCAGATACAGAGTATATTTATGATACACTAGACCTAGGAACACTAGTGAAGATGACAAAATACAAGATTATAATGTTGTCCTTGAACTTAATTCTAAGCAATGAAAGAGAAGTAAACAAATGGGGTCATTGTCAGAAGAGCTGGGTTCAGTTTTTGTGATTTTGTGTTCCTGGAGAGGCCAATTAGCATCTCTGGGTGTTGTTTCTTTTTCATCTGCAAAATGATGGATTAAGTGGAAAGATAGATAAGGACACTTCCAACTTTAAAAACTATGCTCACTAAATGTTGGTTGCTTTGAACTTCATGATTGTTGATTAATAGTTGCTTACTTGGGAGCTTGTGATCCACACTGCATGTAGGAGTCATTAATCAATTGATCCACAAATGAAAACATGCTGAGCATTTACTGAATAAACTTCCAATCACTGGCCCAATAGGTCGCGATTTCAACCCTTCTGGCAATTCTCTAATGTGTATGTTTATTCAAAGGAAATAAGGTATTTCATAACAAATTGATTTAATTCTATTACACAGAAATATCTGCTGGCATTTAAGACTGAATACATGCTCAGGAGCTCTAAAGTTCCAAAATTTGTTGGAGATAAGGGAAAAATTAAAAAGGCCAATAATTTTATAGCACTGAATCTGTTCAACAGCACTACTCAATTTCAGAATACAGGGTTCTAATTACTATAATAGAATGTAAAGGTAAACCAAAGTTTTTTTTCCCGAAACTTCAATGTGTGTTGTGCAAGACAGAAATCTACTTTCGCAGTTTTAGGCTCTGTAACTCCTGCTAACATAACAGATCAATTTATGTATAATTGTTAACTTCCGTCATTTGGCTAGTAGATGATTAAATAGGCTATGGTTTACATATTACTTTGTCATTTTTAATAAAAGCCCTAAACTCTTTTCCCATTCATTGAATTTATGGGCTAGGTGGGTTAGCATTATTCTTCATATTTTTAAAGATGCAAAAATGGAATACATTACTTAGGAAGGTTGCTTGAGTCAGTAGCAGAATGGACTCTAGAACATACAGAACAGACCTCTGTTTCCTGACTATACATTAGTTGTATAACAGTACCTGAAAAATTTGTTTAAATCACTTTTTCTTCTTTTTCAATTCTATACTAATTTAGAAAAAAGGCAATCTTATACAACTGAATTCAACTAAGAGTTTCCCATTTAGATTATTTGCATCTTCTACATGAGACGGAGATTTGTGGAAGATTACACCACTGAAACCTATGCACAGTGCCCTTCTAAGGCCATTGGTTTCCCAGCCAGAAAAGAAGGGGAAGCATTTTCCTAGAGAAAGAGTCAGAAAACATCATTCATTTAATATCTTAATGAATGCCATAAAGATATTTTGTTGAGGATAGTTGATTTGAGTATTACCTTTCAGAATATAATGTAGTCTTGCTGGCGTCAATGGATTCTTCAATACTGAGCTGGATATCATAGCTTGTAAGGTGGTCTTCATCGGGGTCATCATTGGTATCCATCACTGGTTATAATTTTTAAAAGAGGCAATTTCTTATTATCAGCAAGTGACACAGAACAGCATGGATACTTATATTAAAGAGGCAAAATGAAAAACTGAAATGTGTTTTCCTTCCTCATTTATAAACCCAAATGCAGTTACATTTTAATCCATATCATATAGAAAGCCCATTCTAACTTTTGAAACCTTTAATTACCTGCCTTTTGGGCATCTGCATTTTCTAAATTTTGACTTTCTTTTCAGCAATGACAGTGGCTGGGCTTCTAAGAATTCACTTACCCATACTTAAAACCTACACTAAGTTTGGCCCATTAGTTTTCCCAAGACACTGCTCTATACAACACATTAAAAGTTTAAAACTCAAACCAAGAAAAAGTAAGACCATGGCAGGAATAGAGAACAGTAAAACTTCTACACTTTTTACTTTCTATTCTCTCTGCTATGTTTGCTCATTTGCTAAGATTCCTTTCCTCATAAACAATGGTTTGGGTTGCAGTTATTTCTGTATTTGTGTTCAACTTTTAATTGATTCTATGCTCTTTGAGGTGAAGGGCTCTATCTCATTCATCTCTGTGCCCCCTATAACTCTAGAAGGTGCTTGGCACAGGGAAGCTTCTCAATGAACATTTGTTGAATTAAAGTAGAGAGAACGGAATGTCACAGATGTAGGAGCCTAGCCTTGCCCTCAGGAAATTTGATGAGCAGAGAAGATGCAGGAAACTTTCAATAGAAGGAACTGAAAATTTCAAGTTTCTGAGAAATTACTGTGTAACCTTACATATGAAGTGAACAAGTTTCAAAATGCCAAAACTTTAAAATAAAATAGGAGGGGGTTAATCTGGCAAACACAGCTTTAGGCCCTTGGAGAGCTTCCTCACTGATGCGATGGGCGTGATAGACCACAGGGCTCTCTGGGGGCTCCAGGATATCCACCTCGAGGGACCTGTGCTACTTGCACTCCTGGCCATGGAATGATCCTTTCAGACCTTGGCAGATGGGCATTCTTAATGCAGTTAGGGACGCTGGAACTGCTACTATAGGGACAGGCGTGGTACAGATGAGCTTTCTTAAGTGAGGCTTAACTGCGGAGACAGCCAGTGGCTACATTAACCTGGCAAACAATAAGCAGAGTGAAAATAAACTGCTTTTTGAAAAACAGGTTAAAAACAGAGCAGCTTCTGGGCTGACTTACACAATTTATTGATGGCTATTTCAGTTCTCCTTAATTTGCTCACTTACTTCAACCAAATCAGAGCCACCATGAATGGCTATGAAGGATGTGTACTGTAGGTGTGCCTAGCTGAGAAAAGCCAGCCAAATCCCCCCACTCATGCCATGCACCCCAGCGGAGTGCCATGCATGTCCCCAAGGAAGCAGCATCTTTTCCTCATTTGCATCAAAGTGTTTCTGACCTATAGGATTACTGCACATTTTTAACAATGGGAAATTTAACAGAAACAAGCCTAATTATCTAAAGTTTGGGATGATAAATGAGGATAGATAGATTTGATGCCTTATCTAGTCTTTCAATATTTTTCCAAAGTGGAAGGAAGTTGGGATTTGGTTACAGTCCTTTGGGAAGGATGGGGATAACACGGCAGTGATGTTTATGATGCTTCTCGACTTGAGCCTTTCCACGGCTGGCTACTATTTGGTCCCACTTTTTGTGTTCGGGCTTGTGTTAGAGGGAATGTTTTAAGGTCTGACTGGTCTCAGAGCACCATTTGAACAGTTGAGAGAATGACCATCTTATCTCCACCCCAAGACCAGAGAGACCAGCCCACCCACAGGTTCTCATTCCTCTGCCTGCACAGCTCAGTCCATTACAAGCCCCTGCGATCGACTGGCCCATCTCCACTGAAAATAAGCACAAAAATGTAGATTACATGTCATTGGCTTGTTTCTTCCAAATATCAAATTAGAGGAGTGTCTCTCATTACTATTGGATCAATTGCTTTATCTAGTTAAGAGAGAAAATTTAGTAAGTGTAGAAATCAAAATAGTTCTACAGCTAGGTTG